GCAGACCACAGGCAACTGAACCAGCTGGGTGACTTTGAGCTAGTCACTTTCTCTCAATCCAACCCACATTTAAGGGTCGTTGCGCAGAAAATAAGAGCGGGAGCATTAGTTATGTATGCCACCTTGAAGTTACCAAAAATAAAGGCAGGATAAAAAAAAATCAAATAAACAAACCCAGACTCTAGCCCAACTCTAGTTCCTTAGGAAAAGAAATCAGTGGTCCAGATGGCCACAGATCTCTGTGTACAGAGATAGTCCAACCATCTCTGTACACAGCAGTGGATGATCTAGGCCAGAGATAGGCAGTCTTGTGCCCATTGCCATGTTTCTTTGTAGCAACTAGACTCCCTCATCAAACTGAAAAAAATAACAAATTAAATGGTACACTGGCATGCTCCAGATCATCAGCATTTAGCATCATATATGTTATGAATACATTTGCGCCCTACATAGATATTCCTAGAAACTGGGTGATGTAGGAAGAAATAACCTTACCTGCTTGGTTTCTGGTAAACCAATAATTTCTGACTAGGTACATCTATTGTGAATTTCCTTTGTAACTAGTTAAATATCTCCAAGATAGCTTCTTTTTAAGATTGCCTACAAAGTGCTTCTCAGAACTGCAAAAGTTCCCATCAGCCCCCAGAGAGGTTCTTTCTGTTTTAGGGCTTAATTAACAAGAGTTTATTTTTTATTATGGGCAATAGCTCTGAAAATATCTGGGGAGACCAATGGCCATCGATTGCAGCTTCTTACTCCTTTCTTGTATTAGCAGTTAAGTGGTATTGTTGTGTATAACTTAAATAGAATTTAAATAGAGTTTTTAAGTCTCTCTGCTAGGTAAGTTTTGTCTACAGTATTCGTTTTGAAGCACACCTCAGCTGTTTCTTTTGGCAGGGTTTCTGTCACATATATAGAGAGCCCTCTAGGTAGAGTTGGATAAAATGAAAAGATAAAATGGGCAGTGGAGAATCTATGAAATGTCCAGCTGTGGTCCCATGGTTTAGCTGTTTAAATTGTTTTCCCAGCTGTCTAAAGAGATGATAATGTTCAGGTTGAAAGTGTTTGGAATGTTTGAGGGTGTTTTAAAATCTAAAAATGTAAAAAGTCTAATTATGGTTTACATAAATTGCTACAACTCTGAATCAGTTCAAGATATACTGTATTCTAGTCACATCATAGGAACAGCATTAAGAAGCTTGAATATCATATTGAAACCTTTTAGATATGAAAGTGATTTAAAATACAGGAACTGGTTCTGCTCTTACAGTTTTCATACAGGCAACACAAAAACCTTGTTGGACATTATTCAGTCAATTCATATAAGCCATTTTATTCTCCAGGATGCTTTTTCTTTGTTGCATGATCTTTCATAAATGTATTTTCCCACTATATTAGGTTTGGCTGGCGATATGGTGTGCATGTCAAACATACATTCTGCTAATTAGCTGATAATTGTTATGTAGAATGTTCATTGAAGGCATAGTTGTCTTAAGTTAATGTTATACATCACAAACATCAGGTCAGTGGTACAACACATTCTGTTTACCAGTAATGGGTTCAACCATTAAGTATTGGAAAATGCTTCTTCATCTGGGACTCTAAGGCTGCTGCAAGTCACAGTAGCCTTCATCAGCTAATTAGGCCAAGGCTCTGAATTAGTGTAAAACTGCTTCAAGTGTTATCTTCAAGATTATCTGAAGTAGAAAATGGCATTCTTATATGAAAAATGTCTTGTGTAATTTTTTCCCCAGTATTTACAGAGTGATTGCTGTGTTAGATCTTCTCTATTAGTTATTTGTTTTATCTTTGCCTAGAATAGAAACAGCCCCCCCTTTTCCAACATGTACAAACATAAGATGTGATATTAAAGTCTTGTAATTGCAAATGAATTTTTAAATTGGAACTCTCACTTGTTCTTATAACTTGTTAATAGGAAACATCAACAGGATTGGTTGAGAAGTATATACAAGTAGTCCTCGTTTAGCGACTGACTCTAGTGACCGTTCAGAGTTACAGTGGTGATTAAAAAGTAACTTTGTGACCTGTCCTCACATTTATGATCTTTGCAGATCTGTAAACCAAAGGAAAGCTGAAGTAAAATTGTAAAATCATGTTTCATTTAGTGAGCGTTTTGCTTAACAACCAAGTTCCAGGCCCAATTGTGGTTGCTAAATGAGGACTACCTGCAGTAGGATCCTAAAGTGCAACTTAGAAGTAAATCTCACCAAGTTCCATGGAACAAACTCCCTAGAAGTACAGGCCTGTTTTATTTTGAGGCCTCATTAAGAATGTATTGGTCTTTTAACCAAGAAAAATACATTTTTCTCAAATTTGTGTAATATTTATTGATGTCAAACCCTTATGATACTAGCTCAACAATCCAAAATAATATGCTTGTACAGTTTTATAAATACAAATAAAAAGAAGCAAATTGCTACTAGTTAAGCTAAACAAATAGTAATTAAGCTAAACAAGTCACATTGACAACCGGGCAAGTGAATGATAGGATTCAGTTCCTAGAACTAGACAATTAGGACAGTTATATATGACAGCACAAATAAGTCAAATTCCTATTACTGAATTGTTATCATCTGCACAGCTTGCATAGAAAAGTAACTATCTTTTGTGGTAGAAGTTTTTATTAGCCACTAAAAATCTGAATGGTGTACTTAATAATGAAGGGCAAAGCAATACAGGAATAGCAGTTAATGCAAAATATATGGCATGATACATATTACAAAACTTTTTTTTTTTTTTACAAAAAAAAGTACGGTATTTGAATAACTGATTTGAGAAAAATATTCAGGTTTTTAATTATAAATAAAGTACTATAAATGTGCTTCATATAAGGAATACAGTGTTTTCCTTTTGTAGCAAAGTACTATTGTACCATCAGACCACATTTTTTTTAGGCAGATCTAACTGAAATAGCCTTCTACTCCCTCTCAGTTGAGTTCATTTTGAATCCAAATTGCTTAATATAATTCAAATGAAGTCTAATTAGATGGAAAAAAATAGCTAACTTTCTGGCCAGTTAACTATTTTTAAGTTCTTCACAAGCTCCCAGCCTTAGGCAGGGTTCTTGTTCATGCTGCAGTAAGCAAGAACACAAAAATGTAACCTCTAGTATACATGCATGCAGTGTTTAAAATGTAACAACATTTCCTTGTATCCTCCAACATCTACTCATCTATTCTCTATGGTATGCAAATTATTTAAACCCTTATTGCAGACTCACTCCATTTTCCACTTACTCTACATTCCTAATTATCTTCCTTTGTATCACATAGATTCTGCTCAATCAGATCTCCAATATTGTTTTAAAAAGCATTGACGTTTTGCTCATATATATTTCATCTGTTGAGGAAGGCCTGGCTTTTGCGTTATCTTACCTCACTGTTATAAAAGTAAGATGAATCTAAGCATCACATCCGCTGGCAAAAGTCAAAAGCCTTCCGATACAAGGTTACCTGACCTACACTAAGTACAATTAAGGCAAAACTAACATATCCTATTTCCTTTGAGAATAGATAGTCAATTATAGACACAAAAATATCACTGATTTCTCTTCCTTTTTCCATCTTGCTTTATCCCTTCAGTATTGCACATCTGAACTATCATTATCGTAATGCACTCCCAATACATTTTGCAGTGCATTTCTATCCATTACACTTTAATAGCACCTACAAACTGCAAAGGCACTTAGTGGTAAGTGTGCAGCATATTTGCTTTTGCAAAATTTCACTCAATTTAGCACTTGTGAATAGGATTATTCAAAACAGTACTATCCACTTTGTAATAAGAAATGGTTATAGTGAAGGTGATTTGTATATGCAGACTGCATTTCTCTCTACAAACTCTAATTTGTTATACTGAACAAGAAAGATGTGGCTGTGTTATCTTTTGCACACACAGGTGTCTCTCCTGCGTACAGTGGCATAGATTATCCCTGGTCGATACAATGGCTTTCAGTGTTTTCAATTTGAAAGGAAATGGTGTATCTGGTAGCTAATACTTAAAGATCCTCACTTTCTACCAATCCAGATTGCAATGCCAGATGTCCAGGGTTTGCTTCTGGCTGAAATGCAGCTTTGATGTCTAGTCCTTGGTCAGAAAGTGCTGCATACCGACTGGCCGAGGGACGCACTTTCTTGGGCTTAGTGGTTTGGGACTGTTGTTGCCACTGAGCTGGAGAAAGAGAAAAAGAAAAACAGTTTGCTAATGCATCGAAACACAAATATGCGAAGTTGCCGAGCCATTTTATCTCCTTTGAGGGGAAAAGGACCCAATCATCCAATTAAAGAATCATCACAAAACCATCTAGGAATCAAACTGCTGGAGATGTATCCCCACTGCAATTACCAACCAGGAAGTCAGTTTGTTGAATCTGCTGGAGATGTGTGTTGATACAAGAAATGCAACTACAGAGGTAGATGTGCTGCCCTACATACAGTCACTGTCATGATTTGTTCTTTGGTCCTCTTTCACAATGAGATGTGTTCCCCTTCTTCGCCCCATATTCACTTGCTGCTGCCAATTTCTAAAGATAATGGAAGTGAGAAATAATATACACTCCTGAAGCTATACGGAAACTGACTTCTTAGCATAGTAGCTTTATCCAAATTCATCCTTAGTGGCAAAGTATTTAGAATAAAGTATCACAAGGCTTTTTTTTTTTTAAACTGAAAAGTTAAGACGAGAAAAGATATTCCTTTGACCCAGCACTTCTCCTGTGCCACTGACTATACAAATGCTAGGGGACTATCAATGTTTCAAGTGGATCTCTTAATCTTCTAAATCAGGGTTCCTCAACCTTGGCAACTTGAAGATGTGTGGACTACAACCATGCTGGCTGGGGAATTCTGGGAGTTGAAGTCCACACATCTTCAAGTTGCCAAAGCTGAGGAACCCTGTTCTAAATAACTTGAAGAGAAGGGGAAGGTGATCGTAACAAATTCAGGTAAGAATGGGAACATACAACTTTTAAGGTTACAATAATGACACAAGGATTATTTCACCTAAAACATAACTTATTCTATACCAGCCTTTTCTAAAACATTTTTATAAACAGAAAAAACACAAACGAAGGTGGCTTTGTTCTCTGATAATCACACAGGCTACTCTTTCATATCTGCAGCAGCAGCAGGGTACACTATATTCCCATCCTTTTCTCCCCTCTGTACCACTCTTAACTACCCTTCTCTATTTTCATCTAAACCTGTAATTCTTAACTTTCCCCCCTTCTTTCTGTCCCACTTTCTTGCCCTTTTTTGTCCTTGGTGTGCTTAGTAATAGTATAAATGACATTTTTTTCTCCAGCAGTTTAGACCCCAAAGGCTTTTTCACACACAACAGCAATGTTGAACTTAAAGTTGATGGATTGCAAATCCCTGGGAAGTATACAATTGTGATGGGGATGATAATGTATTTCTCCACTGACATGTTAAGAATTGTTTGTCTACATTTAAAATATCCTGCCTGTACATCAATAAATGCAATATGCACCTGAACTTTTCATTTTCAATTTTCAGGAGGCTTGAATCATATATGGCTGGTTATTACAGAAAAATTGTATCAATTCTACTGTTCATCCCTGAATGTAGGGAA